AACAATGTTGAGATCTTCCCATTCCTCTTATGAAGATGCAGCAGATCTAACCTTACACGGAATATCCTTATGATTGTTCTGTGTTGTGATTCATGATTGTTCTGAAACTACAATTCATTTCCTTCCTTTTAACACCTTGGGGTCTTAGTTACAGAGTATCAACATTCTACCTTTAGAAGAGACCTAGCCACAACTTCCTAAACTAAAAACACTGTATTAGCCATGAAATGCTATTTAAAATTAAATTGACACAAGACAAATTCCATAGGCCTTCACTAGTAACCTAGACTCATTTCTTAAGGGTTATGAAATCAGTCAGAACAGACAGAGGTCAGCATCCTCCCCTGCAGAAACATGCTCTATAGGAATAATTAAAAAAAAAAAAAAAAAATCTAGCAGGAAACCAGGCATTCTATTCAGAAAAGTGAAAATAAAAGCCACAAAACACTCAGTTCAACCACAATTAAAAATGTGCAAATTAAAGTTAAAAAAGCATAACCTAGTGATGCTTGAGAATATTGCAGGTCTTGTTACTCACATGTACTGTTACACTGATGTACTACAGACTGCACAGTGACTGATTCCTGTCTGTAAGGACAGACCATCACACTTCAGTCTTCCATTTAAACTTCAGTTGAACTAAACTCAATGCAGGTCATCCCAGGCAGCACATCATCACTTCTGATAAAGGGGGCCAAAATATGCATGGTAGATTTTAAAGAAGGAGAAAATAGATCACCAGATCTGTTTACTTAGAAAACAGTTGAATACTGCTCAATCTAGGAATCAAGTCTATTACACTGTATACTTTCAACTAAGGCATTGACATGTTTAGAGACTTATCAGAGAAATATAATTACTTCTTAGGACAAGGTTTTTCTAGACAAGTAGCATCTTATTGTCAGTGGTGCCAGTACTTAGCGATGGCACTCATGTAATAATGAAACTTGAGAGCTTCAGAAAATTCAGCTGCTTCTCATTCACTTTGAGAAAGAACACTATGAAATGCTGTTGTAACTTATGCTGGACTGAATTAGAAACTGCACTTGAAAACACCAATATACTCTCAAAGCACTTCAGCCTCTTATTAAAGTAGTAGCTACATTAAATCTCAAGAGTTTCATGTTAAACAAACAGAACTGTCCACTAGACATCAGAAGTTCTCTCTAGCTGCAGCTGAAATCCACTGATAAGCAAATCCTCAGCCAACAATGCTTTTGAAGTTAAAATAGCAATGCCTGCCATGATGTTGCAGTATCAAACCTGGTACTGTATCAAAAGTGTACCTGTAAGACTGACAGAAAAAGAAATTCCCATCCAATCACATCTGGTGGCTAGGCTTAGGTAAGATATGGGAGGAAGAAAAAAACCTCTGGGGAAAAAAAATAGAAGAACTACAATTAACTTAAATTCTTAGATTATTTAGGCACGCTCCTACTAAAATTTCTATCAGAAATCACACAACAACAACAGGTCAATAATAGAAATGCAGATTTTCTAAAGAATGTTATGGCAGAATAATAAGCAGTTCCACTTCCATCACGCAAGACGGTTTTGTGGTATCACATGATGTAGTAACAGTTGTTGCTCCCAGGACCATAAAGAAAAGCAACACATTCCACTTTCTAAGCTAAAACCTTCCAGTGTCCAAACCTGCATTTTCACTCTGTTCTTAACTCAGAAGTACTAGTTCACCTCTTTTCCAGGTAGATTTTGTTTGTCAAGACGTATCACTACTTAATAGGAACTTAACCCCTGAGACCATACCAGTTCTAATGTAGTTTTTGACAGGTACTTAAAACAAACCATTGAAGGGTATCAAGAGATGCTTTCCCTTACTGAAATGCTACAAGATGAATAGCAAGTCAAATTGCTGGTGTAGAGCACCAAGATTCACTAGATAAGAAAAGGAATAAAGTATTTCTAAATTGCTTGGCCGCCGAAGAGAGATTATCAGAGAAGAGCAACAGCTCCTCTTTTCTGAACAGCTTACTAATTGGACCAAAACTAACTATAATCCAGAGGCATGTTTTGCTCCACAGACATGCGTTAGGCTTGGGTGAAAGCACAGGGAACCAGGAAACCAAGGAGAACAACTGTGTGCTCCTTTGTGCAAAGACAAACTGAAGCACTTGGTCACCATAAGGCAAACAACAGAAAACAAAGAAACCACTGCCAAGCTCAAGTTTTTAAGGTGAGACACAATGAAGGATGAATGAAACTCCTTTACTCCTTCTAGGTCACTCTAGTTTATACATACATTGTTCCCTGCCAGTCACCATCACTTTCCTATCCTGCTTGCACACACACACACACTTATCTGTGCTCCAGAGGCCAAACGCCATTCCTAACTGTGCTCCCACCTTAAAAAATGATGCAATTTCAGCATACTGGACCCAGCTTGCATGCAGCAGCTACTGGTAGAGCAAACATATGAGCACAGCTTTGTTTGCAGGCTGACCACCAGCCTCCACTATATCCAAAATCCTGGTTCAGGGAGAAGAGAGAAACAAAAACAGAGCTGAAGCCAAACAGACATTCAAACAGCTATTCTCATGATCACGCAACGCAAGTGCACTGAAAAGCTGCTTCAGAAAATAATTCCTCTCCTCCCTTGATGTTTGGAATGACTGCCAATAATAAAAACTGAGCTGGCAGCAGAAACACATTATGAGCTAATAAAACCTATGATTGCCTATTCATTTATTATTCTTGAATTGATCCGAGGGTTTAACAAATACACTTAATGAATTAGAACTTTTTCTAGCAAGCACACATGTTAGAGTGGCTATTCACAGCAATAATCCAGAGATACAAAGATTACTCACCAAGAAGTTCAGTGTTACAGCTCATCAGTATTCTGACACTTAGCTTTGATTCATGTTGCATACCCACTTCTGCTCATTCAGAGCACGGTTCAGGATTAGTCTGAGAACTTACCATGCATCTTCTAGTGGTAGGCTAGCTTATAGAAAAGGATTAAAGTGTGTAACAACTTTCAGGATAGTGATGGAGAAGAAGTAGCTTGACTAGCAATATTAGCAAACACATTAATCCTGGTGAGCATGCAACACTTCAGCTACAGTGTTGAAGGCTACCTGAGGTTGAATCAAGCTAACAGCCCTGATTTACAAAGCAAGAAAACCTAGAATATTATCGGCCAAATCTTAATTGTATTTGGAATTTAAAAAAAAACACACAGAACATTTCCATTTACAGGGCACATATCAGCACCAGCCTATTAAACACAAGGAAGCATACTAGATGAGTCAAACACAACAGCACCGCGCTCCTCGTTTCCACTGTGATTTCAAGGACCTGAGATTTCTGGTGCTTGCCCCAGCACACACACACTCCTGCAGTTTCAGGAGGCTAAGCAAAGCCTAGGAGCAAGCAGAGTGCTCACCATCTGGTCTTACTGCAACTGCTCCCACCAAAGACAGCATATCCTGTGATCTGAGTCATGTGCAATCACAATATGACAAGTCCCCTCCCGAGCTATATAAGCTGGCATCCTTCCCAGCAGTTGCCACATCATGAAAAAGATGCACATAAATAAAACTCCAAACACTTTAAAACAATAGCTTAAATGACTGCATAACTAAATTCAGCAGCTGGAGGCACAACGCATTCACAGAAGCAAACCATGCCATCTTTCACTTGCACAAGTCCTCAAATACATTTCTATTACCAAGATCCACATCACTCCTAACCTGGGTTGCAAAGTCATGTCTCCTGAGGCCAGACAAGAATAAAAAAGAAAACACAGAATAGGTAATAAAAACAGAGAGTGTCATAAGCATCAGCTAGGCAGTCACAGAACTTCAAAGTATTAAACCTACATTCTATCACTGCTTCACCACCCCATCTGCTGTGCACAAACAATGCTACCTTGCCTATTCAGGCTTCTCAAACCCATTCTGTTTTTCTTCCAAGCTATTCAGACCAGTCTAAAGCCATGCTTTTCTGCACAAGAACAGCGGGAAACAGGAAGGAAAGGAAGACTTCACTGTGCAATTTGGGCAATTTATTTCACCACAAATGTGGTAGTACTGCATATATGCCACTAAAAAAACTATTTGTGCAATACCTTTCTGCTTTCACCTAGACTGAAAAAAAAATGTACTCAGCTTTACAATGACAAAATAGAAATAATAGCATATATTCTGGAAGAGAATATCAACAGCAAAGTCTTGCATTTCTTACAGTTCATTTGGTTAAAGGGAACAAAATATCCTCGAGGAATGAAAAAAGAAAAAACGAATGCAAAAATATGAAAGTCCCAGTTCGAACTGAGAAACATTAAATGAGAATGTGCGTTTTTACCCTGCCTCAAAAAATCTTCCCCAGTTCGATACAGAGAAAAGTCCCGTCCTCCGCTTCGCGAACGCCCGATTTCGCCCAGGTAGCTCCGGGCAGAACAGACTCCTTACGATGTCATTCTACGGAGCGGCAGGAGCTCTGTGTGACAATAATGACTACCGATCCGACGAAAGGCAACTGCAAACCATCGCGCCTACACGAGTGCATAAACCTTCTCACAAACAAAGCACCTTCTTTTGTTCACACCGTTACCTCCGCTAACGGCCACAGCGCTCAGGACACTACCGGATCGGATCCAAAGACAAAAGGCCGCCGCACCTCCCGCACGGGCCCGGGCGCCGCACACGCTCACCGCTCCGCAAGTTCTCATCAGCGCCGGATCGGCGGCGCGGGAAGGGCGAAGGGCCGGGGCGGCACAGCCGCGAACCCGACGCGCCCCGGCGCAGGACGGTCCGGAGCCGTCCCCGTCCCTGCCTGCGGGAGCGACGCGCGGGCCGGGTCCCGGAGGCGCTCGTCCCGCGCGGCCGCAGGTGCCCGGGGCGCGGACCCGCGGGCAGCGGCGGCGGCTCGGGGAGGGCGGCTGGATCCCTCGACTCCGCGCAGGGCGACGAGCGGCCCGCGGCGCCGCCGCTTTTGTTCTGCGCTCGGCGGCTACCCGTTCCGCAGGACAGCCTCACCTCTCTTGGGCCTCGGGAAGCTCTCGTGCAGGTGGAAGACGACCTTCTCTACGAAGTGCTGGATGTTGCTGTGCTCGGGCCCGCGGACGAACACCATCCAGTCGTGGGTGAAGCCCTCCACGGTGGGTTTCTTCCTGACCTGGGCTCGGTGCCCCAGCTCCAGCTTCACCTGAACGGCGCACTGCGGGGAGAGGCGGCGGGCGGTCAGCGCCGGGCGGGCGGCCGAGGACGCGCGCCCCGAGAGCCGAGCCCGCGCCGCGGGCACCACCCGGCGCAGCGCCGGGAGCCGCTTCGCGGTCGCGGTACGGTCCCGCTCCCCGCGCCCGGAGATGCCGCGCGCCGCGAGCGGCAGCCGGGAGCCCGGAGCGGGGGAGAAAGAGCGGAACCGAGGAGGAGCGGGCCGGGCACTCACCGCGCTGGCCATGCCTGGGGCGCCGGCTCCGCTGGGCGCTCGCCGCGGCCCCCGCCCCCACCCCGCGGCGCTAATTCATGGAGATGAAGGCGCAGAGGCGGCCGCGTAGGGCGGCAGCGGCGGGAGCGCGGCGGGCATCCTCTGCCGGCCCGGTGCTGCTCTGCGGCGGCGGCGGCTGCCTCCGTCTCCTCCGCGCCTCGCAGCGCACCGACCCCCGGCCGGCCGCGACGGCGGCGCCGTCCCCCTCTCAGCGCTGGCCCCGGCCCCGCCGGCTGGATGGGCGCCCGCCGCGCATGCGCACCGCCCGCTCGGCTGACACCGAGACACAGACATAACAGCGCGCGGAGGGGGCGGGCACCGGTGCGCTGCGGACAGCCAATGGCACGCGGCGGCGCGGCCGCGAGCCGCCCGCCCCACCCCGCCCCGCGGCCCTTAAAGGAACAGGTTAAGGAGGGCTGCGGCCGCGCAGCCGGTGAGGCGCCGGGCGGGAGCGGTGCGCGGGTCGCTGCGTTACAGGCGCGCGGGGGGAGCGGCTCCCGAAGCTGTCCGCGCGTCCTCTTAAGAGCTGCTGTTCAGAACGGGCGGCGCGCGCGGCAGCCCGGTGCCGGTGATGTGACGCTCAGGCTCGTTCACCCGGCTGCGCCGCTGACAGCACGACGCTGCGTTTCCAAAACGCGACGGCGGCCGCGGCCAAGCCCGCGCCAGACGCGGCTCAGCGCGGAGCGGCGCCCCGGGTGGCGCTGTGGGCAGCGGGGCCGCCGCCGCGCGTCGCACCGAGGAGAAGCCCTGCCCGGCGGCGTTGCCGTGCTCCTGGAAGCGCCTCCCGGTGGCGGCTCCCCGCGTCCTCCGCCGGGTTATTGAAATGCGAGCGCGACCACCCCCCGATTCCATCGCAGTTGAGTCGATGCCCAGCTCCCAGAGGGCTGGATGCGATTTATGAAAATGCCACCAGTCACACAGTAACTAACCGTTCACCTTGCTGTTACATGAACATCCATGCCGTATGCCTACAGTGTACAAACGTCGAGGCTTATGTTTTTTCTGTTCATCTTTTGTCGGGTTAGCCAGCAAGCCGGCAGCTCACATCGTGTTCACAAACCTGTCAGAGCTGACTGATAATCTGAAGACTTCGCGCATGCCACAGTTATTAAAAAATCTTAGAATCATTTGAGTTGGAAGGGACCCTTAGAGGCCGTCTAGTCCAACTGCCCCGCAATGAACAGGGACGCCTACAGCTCAGTCAGGGTGCTCAGAGCCCCATCCAGTCTGGCCTTCAGTGTCTCCAGGGATGGGGCTTCCACTGAATCTCTGGGCAACCCGTGTCAGTGCCTAACCACTTGCAAAGTAAAAAACTTCGTAGATCCAATCTAAATCTCCTCTCCCTTAGTTTGAAACCATTTCCTCTTGTCCTATCACAGCAGACCCTCTTAAAGTCTTAGAGCCCTCCTTTAGATACCGAAAGACCCCTCTCAGGTCTCCTTGAAGCTTTCTCCAGCCTGAACAGCCCTGACGCTCTCAGCCTGTCCTCAGAGGGGAGGCGTTCCATCCCTTGGATCACTTTTTGTGGCCCTTCTCTGAATGCAGATCTATGTCTCTCCTGTACTGAGACACAGTACTCCACATGTGGTCTTACCAGGACAGAGCAGAGGGGCAGGATCACCTTCTTCGACCTGGCCACACTTCTTCTGATGCAACCCAGGATATGGTTGGCTTTCTGGGCTGCAAGGCCATATTGCTGGCTCATATCCAGCTTGCCTTGTGCCAACACCCACAAGTCCTTTTCAGAAGAGCTGTGCTCTATGTTTCATATCCAGTGTGGCATGGAACACAGTGTGCCTCCAGGAACCAGGGCCCACCTGCAGAGAGCAATCTGCAGCCTGAGACTCCAGGCACCTCTCATAGAAAGGTTCCAATTTTCCCATGGCTGAGCTACTCAAGTGTCCAGTCACTTTAGAAACTTGCAGGAACTGGCAGTAGATCATTTAGATGTCTAGATTCCATTGGTTCAAACAGAAATCAGACTCCCAAGCATTTCTCACTAAATGAGGGGTTTTGCAATTCAGAAGACACTCATTTTTTGGTGTTAAGCCATTATGTACTCTTCCACAGTAGTGTGGAGCTGAGGGTATAGCATTCCAAATAAATGGCAACAATAACTTTACACAATTTACATGGAAGGCAGGGAAGATGCAGTGATCTGCTGTCAAAGCAGTGCTAATTGCTCCTTCATCAATGTGGCAAATACACTTTTATAATAATCACAATGCATACTTCTGCTTATTTCTGTCTTTAAAAAGTTACACAAAAGCACTTGAATTAGTAATAAGCAGGAAGATTATACAATTCTTAAAGGTAGGCATCTAAAACAATATGTCTCAATGAGCACATATGTGTGTAGTTTCATTCCCACTGGTATTTCAGAAATCACGGAATTGCAGGGATTGAAAGGGACCTCAGAAGATCATGGAGTCCAATCCCTGTTCTACAGCAGGCACCTTACAATAGGTTGTAAAGGTTCATCACAGAATTGTAACAGAATGACTTGGGTTGGAAGAACTTTAACTGTCACACAGTTCCAAACCCCCTGTCAAGGGCAGAGCTGCCACCAACTTGGCCTTGAAAATCTCCAGGGAAGGGGCATCCAGAGCTCCTCTGGGCAACCTGTGCCAGCACCTCACTGTCCTCAGGGTAAAGAATTTCTTTATAATATCTAACCTAATAATATCTAACTTTTTTTAATTTAAAGCCACTAAATATGTTGAACACAATCACATTCTTGTTCAACACGATTATTTCCATCATCAGTGATTGTAGTACCAGCCCTAACAGCCTTGTTTTTTGTCTGTGTACCCACAACTTTACACTTCAGGACTACAGAATTCTGCCCTACAATATTCAGGTACTAACACAGTTTTATTAAGGAAATTATGTTGGAGACACTGCAGTTCAAAATCCCAATACATATCAAATCCTGTCTTCAATACTTCTTGCTGGCTAGAAAGTAAATCCTTTTACATTCCTTCTCTACATTCCTGGGCAACTCTTCAAAGACTTTGACTGCCTGTTTTTCTTTCCTTATTTACATAATAGTTTGACATCATGAAGAACATACTTCCTAATCTCTGGGAGAAATTGGGGCCACCATCTTTTTGTGTAACAAATCATGTTCTTTTGTGGGGGTACTACCTAAAGATAAAACACCTTTTTTTTTTTTTTTTTTTCCAACTCATTTTACATGGAAAAAAAATAGCACAGAAGAGTTCTCTGTATGAGTCATCACAGTTTTGTTTGGCACAGTAGGACCAAGGCAGGCAATCAACACAGTTAAATACAAAAAGAAACTCACCACTTCAGTTGGAATATTTCTATTTTCACTCCACCTCCTTCTTGCCTTTTTTCTTTTGGAAAGACTTGAATTATCTTTTCCAAGCTTTTTCTGGAAATCCTTATTGCTTAATATAAGCTTTGTACCTATTCAGACTGATTACTTCCTTTTCATAATTACACAAATGACACAGCAGTAGCTTTGAAGAGATGTCACAGTGGGCCTGAATGTACATCCACTTCTCAGGATCCATTCAAAGTAGGAAAGGAAGAACCACTTTCCATCATAAAGGTCTTCAGAAATGATTTTATTCCAAGATGGTTATTATCTTGCAAGCTAAATCCATGATAACACAATTTTAGAAACTACATACTTGCACATACACATTTGTTTGCTGTGTTTTTCTCAGAAGACTGTAAAGACAGGATTTGTTTTCTTTCCTCCTGATTTAATAATTTCTGATAAATGAACAATTGCCTAGCAGCATCAAATCTACATACTGCAAAAGAGAATATGTCAGGCATGTGGAAGAACTGTAGTTTGCACAACATCTAGGTTTCTGTGCTCCTGCTAATGTTTATGCTGAAGAAAAGTCCCTTCTGAATCTCTGCAGATTTTTCCTGGAAGGCATAAAACTATAGCCACTTCAATGGCAGTCTTGTCTTGTTACTATATATCTTCGGTATTTTTGTTTCACCAGAATTAGAGTATAGAGATTTTTACCAGTAGCTCCAACATAGCTGTATCAGAACATGCTTAATGAGAGAGAAGGTATCCAAGCAGTAAAGAATATCCACTACACTATACAGACAGGGTTGTGGCATTTTTAATTTTCACCCATGGAAGAAACAAAGAAGAAAAAAAAAAAGTCTACTCCTGAAGCAAGATGTTTTTTCTTGGTTCTAGTTTGTGTTTCAGTTGAGAACAAAATGCAAAAAGGCTGTAAGGCAATAACTGGAAAATTCAAAAACTAGTAACATATATGAGAGACAATTCCCTTTTCTGGACTTTAAGTTGGTGCACAGACTCACACACCATATGTGTCTCCATAACTCAGGATTCTACAGGAAGGAATGGATCTGAATGTTCGTCTGGTGTCCTTCGTGCTGATGTTTATTTCTTATTTATTTGGATAGACAAAAGCATCTTCCTCTTGACTTAGAATAGGAGTAAAGCAATAATACTAGTACTGAATGAATACATACTGACTTGCTGTATTGCACATAGGTGTAATAATGGAAATGCTTCTAGCACTTGACTTTATTTGCTTCTGTCATCTTTATTTATCTGAGACCAGTTAACTGATTAATGATTACGAACTCCTAAAGATTCAAGTTCAGATTTGGAGGAGAGAGTTACTTAATGTGTCAGTTGTGAAGCAGTGTTGCATTTCAGACAAAAAGAAAAAATGTTTTAAAAAACATTTTAAAACATTTAAGCTGAAATGGTTGTGATACAATTAGAGTAATTTTAAAAATGTATTAATTTTACAAACTTCAATATAACTCCCAGTTATCAGAGGCAGAATCAAAGAATGATCCTGAGCCATTGAACTGACAAATTAGTGCAACCACTTTCTTCATATTGGATCAAAAGTTAAAACAACCATTCTTTGATCTCATCACAGCAGATGGATGCAATTATGCGCATATAAAAGTGCAGAGACTCTGGGTCAAAGACATACAGAATTACAAAGGTGACAGCAATTTTCTAGTAGTTCTGTCTAGTATTGTTAAACTAGAGCTTAACATGGAATAATTATACAGCTGCAGTTTCTTTTGAAAACAGGAGACACTTGTGACATGTTCTTAACAGAATGTAACTACTAAGGGTTTACACAAGCAGTCACTGCAATACTAGAAATCCTTGCACATTTTATGTCTGCTGAGATACCTTCTGTGG